TTTGTGCAGCTTTAGTTTATGAGATATTAAGAATTATAATTTCGCCCGATGACGTTGCCACTTTAAGGCCAATTTTGGCTGCTGCATATAAGCAAGCCCTCACCTGTTGTGAGGCTTCTTGCGTCGTGACATCAACTCCATTTGCTTTCTTTGCACCGTGCTGGGTAAGCGTGGCTGTTTCAATGTTTGTCGGCTTTAATACCAGATATTAATGTTAACTGGTCTATTTGTTCAGCCTCCTCTGCTGCATCTCCAACGTATAGACCGATCTGTCCGTTTGTTTGTTTACTGACAGGAAGTGAAGGGCTATTGTGGCCAGGTTCGCCCCATGTAAACAAAGCCTTCAAATAGGTTTTTGTTACAGCTGTACTGCATAGGTGGAATTTGGGATCCGTTTGCTTGTCAGTGGGGTAACTGACCATGTCTCAGGTAAGCAGTTGCTGTAAATTGTATTTCTCGTCAGCAGTTGTATTAATAATTTGTTTTATTTTTACAAACCGGATTCCAAAAAAGTTGGGACACTAAACAAATTGTGAATTAAAACTGAATGCGATGATGTGGAGATAACAAATGTCAATATTTTATTCGTAATATAACATAGATGACAGATCAAAAGTTTAATCTGAGTAAATGTAACATTTTAAAGGAAAAATGTGTTGATTCAAAATTTCAGTGTCAACAAATCCCACAACAGTTGGGACAAGTAGCACTAAGTGGCAGGAAAACGTAAATTGAGCATATAACGAACAGCTGGAAGACTAATTAGCACTAATTAGGTCAATTGACAACATGATTGGGTATAAAAAGAGCTTCCCAGAGTGTCAGTGTCTCTCAGAAGCCAAGATGGTAAGAGGATCACCAATTCCACCATTGTTGCGCAGAAAGATAGTGCAGCAATACCAGAATGGTGTTACCCAGCGTAAAATAGCAAAGACTTTTAAGTTATCATCATCAACCGTGCATAACATCATCAAAAGATTCAGAGAATCTGGAACAATCGCTGTGCGTAAGGGTCCAGGCCGTAAAACTCTACTGGATGCTCGTGATCTCCGGGCCCTTAAACGTCACTGCACCTCAAACAGGAATGCCACTGTCAAGGAAATAACAGAATGGGCTCAGTAATACTTCCAGAAAGCATTGTCAGTGAACACAATCCACCGTGCCATCCGCCGTTGCCAGCTGAAACTCTACAGTGCAAAGAGGAAGCCATTTCTAAGCAAGCTCCACAAGCTCAGACGTTTGCACTGGGCCAGGGGTCCTTTAAAATGGAGTGTGGCAAAATGGAAGAGTGTTCTGTGGTCAGATGAGTCACGATTTGAAGTTCTTTATGGAACACTGGGACACCATGTCATCCGGACCAGAGAGGACAAGGATAGCCCAAGCTGTTATCAATGCTCCGTTCAGAAGCCTGCATCACTGATGGTATGGGGTTGCATGAGCGCTTGTGGCATGGGCAGCTTGCATGTCTGGAAAGGCACCATTAATGCAGAGAACTATGTTCAGGTTCTAGAACAACATGTTCCATCTAGACTTCATCTCTTTCAGGGAAGATACTAAGGGGATAAAGTGCAACATTGTAGTGCCATTGCACCATTGTTTACGCATATTGTTTCTTTCATTTCTTTTAGAGACTAATGCTTCTGTGGTGGCAGTGGTGACACCTCGTGGTACTGTCCGGGCTTGTGTGTTTTGTGCAAGCACCTTTTTCTTTTTACCTTTTTTTATTTTTTGTTTTGTTGTTGAAGAGTCCAGGGTGATCCCTTTCTTCTCTGCGCTGGATGTTGTCCCTTCCCTCACTACAGTACTTACCCCATTGGTAAGTCTCATTTTCATTTGAAATGTAGCTATTTTTCTAAAAATTTTCGTTAAATGTATTCACTAATGAAATTCAGGTTATCAGCAATTAAAGACGTTATTGAAGCTTAATAAATTATGTAGAATTTTCTGAATCTTGTCGCATTTCCAGCAAAACTTACCTGAGTCCTTATTGGAATCTTTAACATTTCATACTTGGGTTTTACAATAAGGTAAATCCACATTAGGTGGGCACATTAATAACGTTCTGTTACCCGCTCAGTATTGTATTTCTCCAGTCCTTCACTGTAACTCATATTCAGCCTTTTTGTTTTTGCATTTTGTTCGTTATAACTTTTAGCCTGGAACATCTTCTACCTTTTTAATGACATGAACCTGTATACTTTCATTTCTTTATGGTTTGTTGCGGACACCAAAATTTCCTTATTGTGGAGCAGTAAAGGTTTTCGATTATAATTAATTGAAAAAAGTAATGAACCATGACTTCTAAGATCACATATATCCAATGTAATGTTTGAAAATGTAATATACATTATACTTTCAAAGAATAACAAACACTTTTCTTTTGGAAAATGATTTTTTTTTAACAATTGAACATTCTGATGTTTAAAGATTGAACATCTTTTTTTCACACTGAGACATGGTCACAACAAAACGAAAAAGGGACTTGTTGATAATTGTAAATTAATATCTTTTGTATATAACAGGTATACAAACTCTTTGAAAAAAAAATATTTTTGAGAGATGTAATAGGAAAAGAATTACAAACTACAACATTTCATTACAATTATAATATCAAACAATAACAAACTATTTGCTTTTGACCTGGGCTTCTGAAAACTTCCAAGTGGAATGTGTTCATTCACAGCATTCAGTCTGCTGTGTATAATGCTGCATGTGGTTGGATTTTTTCCTTCTCTGACACTGTCTTCACTGCTTTTGCCAGGTCATCATAAAGCTCCCACACACACGGAGCTCTACGGCAGTATGCAGTGTAATGTCCCATAACATCTTTGGTCAAGCTTCCCTTGAAAACGATGACTCCTCTCAAAGTGAATGTCTTTCCTTGGAGAGCCACAACGGAGGGAAATTCACTCAAAGTAAACTGAGTAGTTTGTAAGAGGTCAGTGACAATCCATGCTATTTCTCCAATTTGGTAGCTGTGAGTTAGAGTTCCTGCACAGAGTATTTTCCCTGACGTGCTGTCTCCTGTTTTGAATGCAACTGGACATTCTGATTCTTTCTGTAGTTGGCGAAGGCAGGTAGACTCTGGAAGTAAGAGTCCATTTTCGACTGAAGTACCAAGCTGAGCCAAGCCAGACTTCATCAGGACAGAAATGTCAGTAGAAACAAATGGTACTTCCCTAGTTGTTCCTTTGTTTAGCTGGCAGTACTGAGAAGAGCAGTGTTTAGACAGGTAAATGCTTGATACATTTCTCATTGTTTTACCAATGACAGTGGAGATATTGCACTGGGCATCGATTTGGTGGGCTCCAGACTTCAACTCGATTTTTTGAAACATTGCACTAAGCAGCTCTGCCCTCTGTGAGTATATCTTTGGGGTCACACTATCTGCAGTAATGGCTTTCACAAGCTGCAAGATGGGGTTGTCACTGTCATTCCTGACAACATTTTGAAATGCTGAGCTGTCACAGAAAGCACAGCATAAGCACTGACAGAAAGCATCAAATGCACATGTGTTCTGGACAGATATTGTTAATTTTCCAACTTTAATAGGTTGATGCAGGTTTCCATTTTTTAATAGTCCCACTTTCACTCTTTTTCCCCGAACAGATGGATCTGCATGGAGCCATTCAGTGCAGGAAGTAAGATATGAAGTCCTCTTCCTTTTTTTTCGGTGGAAGAATTAGTCCCCTCCAGTTTTCTACCACATCTTCATCTGTTGGCGGAATGTTTGTTTCATCAAGTTCTGGAGAATGGTGAGAATCTATTCTTCTCTTGGCTTCAGCACTGTGGGTGCTCATGGAAGCAGAGTTTGTTTCTGAAACTTTTGTTAATCCAGCTATTTCATGTTTTACTTTTCCAGAACAAATCCTCATTTTTCCTTCGATGAAGGAAAGATGACGAGAAATAAATCGATCAAGTCTAATGGGCAAGTTCTCATGTTTAAAAAGGCCATGTTTTACATTTTTGAATTCTGCTTCCACAGTGGCTGAGCTTGCAGTGAGGCTAGTGCTTCTGAAGAGGGGGACCATTACTCCTGTCCAAAGTGGCAAGTAACTTGCAAGTCTTATAATGTGTGGAACAATCTCAGGGAGGAAATGGATGTTATCCCTGTCCCCACTGGCTGCAGCGAGTGACCTGCTCTTCTCGCATATGTTTGATACCCAGTCTCGAAGGTCAGTCTGGATCTCGTCTAAAGGTTCCATTTGATGCACTTCCTTTGTGTCTTCGGCTGGAATGATGGAGTCTTCTGTTATCTGTGTTTTTAGATATTTTTTGCACCTCTCTGATTCCAGAGGAACTCCAGAGCTATCATCACCCTCTGCCTCACTGAGGGCCACAACAGTGATCGCATGTATCAGCTGTTTTGCATGGTCCAAACACTGTGATTGTAGAAGCTTGGCTATTGCTCTGACAAAGAAGTCTTTGACACGGTGTGACTTGTTTTTCAGGCAGTCCCACTGGCAGATCATCTTTATGCAGTGTGCCACATCAACTCTGATAAAACATGGAGGACAGTTTGCTGACTTGTTTCCAAGTAGCAGACGGAAACATTCGTTAATGTATGCCTTCAGATCAGGGTAAGGAGTGAAGGCCCTCACCAGAGCACCGAGAATAGCCAGGGAGAAGTCACTCACGGCTTCCTTTGGTACAGCAGCACCTGTACGAAGCCATTCTGTCAGCCATGTTGCAATTGCATTTATGTCGTGTCTCTCTGACAGCATTTGCACAACTGGGACCGAGCAGTTGTCCCCTGTCAGAACACCTTGATATAAGAAGATGTGGCCAGATGTTCCATTTGGTCTCACCAGTCTTCTCACAAC